CCCACCCCGGCGCTGCAAGCCTGTGTCTTCCGCCTCCAAACCCAGGCGTCCCGGCCCCAGCCCCAGCCCCCACTCCCTCTGACCCAGATGCCTCAACCTTCCCACGAGGCAGCCACCTTCTTACTGCACAGGCCGGGCGCCCAAAGCTCCTTTCCCCTTAGGGCCAAGAATACAGAGCTCTTTTTCGCTTCTTTTCCATTATGTCCCAATTAGCGCTTAATTTACCTTCCCTGGGAGGGCTCTTAATTAACGCCCAGGTAAAGCCAAACCGCTTTACCTGGCGACAAGCTTTACGGGGCGCTGCCACCAGGCCAGCGGGGAGCTGCGTCCCTCGGGCACAGGGAGGCGTGGGCAGGGGAGGAAGCCTGGTGTGGCCGGCTTGTACCAAGGGCAGGGACCTGCGGGGTGACCGGGACTTCAGACTTCGGGGCGGGGGGCTCCACCTGCAGGTGGATGGGACAGGCGGGAGACCGGTGGGAAATCAGGAGGGGGCGTGGGGACCTCCAGAGGGGTGTCCCGACTGGCTTTGCTCCCGTAGCCCAGCTCTGCGCCTCCCGTCACGCGGAGCTCCGCGCCCGTGCAGAAGGTGGCTTCGGAGGCCAGGAACACAGCAGCGGCGCCCACCTCAGCCGGCCGTCCTCCAGAGGGGTGTCCCGACTGGCTTTGCTCCCGTAGCCCAGCTCTGCGCCTCCCGTCACGCGGAGCTCCGCGCCCGTGCAGAAGGTGGCTTCGGAGGCCAGGAACACAGCAGCGGCGCCCACCTCAGCCGGCCGGCCCATGCGGCCCAGGGGCTGGGGAGAGAGCGGAGGAAGGGGTCAGAGGAGGAGCCCCTCGATCGCCACGCCCCTCGGGTCCCCGCTCTCTCTCCTACCTGGGCCAGCACCCCCTCCCGGATCTCGGCCTCGGGGTCTGGCGTGGAAGCTGCCACCATCTCCCACAGCGGGGTCCAGATGTTCCCTGGGGAGATACTGGGGGGCGGGCGTCACAGACGCGGCTGCAGGGCTCAGCGGTCTTCTCAGCGGCCCGGGGCTCCCGGCCTGCCCCAGCTGCTCACCAATTAACTCGGACGCCGTACTTGCTCTCGTCCAAGGCCAAGGCTTTGGTGAGGGCTGTGACTGCCCCCTGCAGAGAAGGCAAGGCCAGGGTCGGTTCTTGAAGTCGGGGTTCTGCCCATCCCTCGCTCCAGCCTGGGGGCCGAGCAGGGGCAGCCTCACTCCCCGTGGGCTGCTTTCAAAGCCACAGGGCTCTCTGGCTCGGGAGAACCTGGGGCAGAGCAGTCTGTCACCGGGCTGGGGAGGGCAGCTTTGGGAGTTCGGTGTGGGACTTTCTCAGGCTCCTGCACCCAGAGAGTCTGGCTTGTCACAGGGTGTGCAGGGGCAAGTCTGAGGCAGGCGGGCTGTGCATTTGAGGCCAGTATGGGCTACCCAGAAAGACCCAGGACCTTGTCTCAAACAAACAGGGAGAAGAAAAAATATGTGAAAAGGAAAAACGTGGAAGCAATGTCTTTGTAAACGTGTGTGTGTGTGTGAAGGGAGGGCTGGGGAATGGGGAAAAATAAGAACCCAGATAAGTCATGTAAAGATATAAGATCCCCATGATGAATGTAACTCTACTGTATACCTAATATGTGCCAATGAACTTAATAAAGATAAAAAACAAAAACAAAGGGCTGGCGATTAGTGGTCCCGGAGCCTGCCTCGAAAGTGCAAGGACAGGAGTTGGATCCCCCGTACCACACGCGCACACACAGAGCCAGTAGAGTTCACCAAGGCCATCCACACCAGTGTTGCTTTGTTCAGACTTAGGCTCCTTCCTCCACCAGACCTGACACAACTAAATTCCTCAGGAGGCCAAAAAGAGCAGGAAAAGAGCAGGAGCCTGATCCTAAGATAAACAAACAGGTTGGACCAGGGATTTAGCTCAGTGGCGTCCATCATACCTGTTTAATCCCCGGTACCGCCAAAAAAAAAAAGGAACAGGTTGAGACTGTAAAGAACGTTTAAATTAAAAAACAAAAAATAGGACTGGGGATTTAGCTCAGTGGTTCTGAAGCCTGACTCGCAAGTGCAAGGACCTGAGTTCGATCCCCAGTACCAAAAAATAAAACAAGAACAAAAGATAAAACTGGGCCCATACCTGTAGAGTAGGCTGTACCTTCCTAGGGGTGGACCAGGGTTTCCACCCCTTCTGAGAGCAGAAATGTTCCCTATCCTGGGAGAGAGTGGTCTCAGCACTGAGTGCCTCTTTTTTTTTGGGGGGGGCGGTTTGAGACAGGGTCTCACTATGTAGTTGAGACTGACCTGAAACTCACTATGTAACCCAGGCTGGTCTTGAACTCACAGAGATCCTCCTGCCTCATCCTCCAAGGTGCTGGGATTACAGGTGTACACCACCATGCCCGGCTCTGAGTGCCTCTTTTGAGTTGTCCTAAAATCTGCCTAATAAACCCTTCCACCCCACTTACTGACGAGTACTGAAAATTCTTTTTCCACCACAGGAGTCAGTGAACCTGTACATTTTTTCTACCAGGGGTTTCGTTAGGTTCCTCATCTCTTGGGGCTTCTCAGAACCAGCCCGGTGATGACAGGGACACGAGGCAGGAGCAGGGCTTGGTGTACCTTGGTGGCAGTGTAGAGCACTGCCTGGGACTGGCCGATGGCCCCAGTCAGGCTGGAGATGTTGATGATGTTGCCCCGGCTCTTCCGCAGGTGGGGTAGAGCGAGCTGAGGACACAAAGGCAGAATCAGCCACAGGCACCCCGACCTGGGGACAGTGACCATCGGGACTGCACCTAGTGCTTTCTGTGCTCGGTTCTTGAGTCTCTGGGTCTTGGCACTTAGGAATCTCTCCTTGTTTAGGAGGGTGTCTTTTGTTTTTGTTTTGTTTTGATTTTTGTTTTTCATTGTTGTTGGTGTTTTGTTTTGAGACAGGGTTTCACTGCGTAGTTAAGGCTGTCCTTGAATTCACTCTAACCCAGGCTGGCCTTCAACTCACAGCAATCCTCCTGCCTCAGCCCCCTGAGTGTTGAGATTATAGGAGTGCATTACTACTCCAGGCTAGAAGGGAACTTTTGCTCTTTCTCTCTGTGTCTCTCTCCCCTCAGTCCATCCCTCTCTGTGTTTCTCCCTCCCTCCATCTGTCTCTCTCTTCTCTCTCCCTCTTGGGTCTCTGCCCCCATCTCTCTGGCTCTTTATGTCACTCAAAATCCTGTCCCATCAAGCTAGGGAAGGCTGGAGAGAGACCCAGACAGCTACGTATTTTGCAAAAATGGGAGGAAGCGCTTAGAGGTCAAGGTTTCTCTGTGTTCAAGATGCAAACAGAAACCTAAGTGAATTAGGATCCATTTGCTTCGAACTTCTCCCTGGCAGTGCCCTGGAGTCCCCCTCTGGTATGTGGGACAAGACACACGACCTTGGATGAACTCCAATTCTATGCTTCCTGTCCCCTGCCTTGAGCTGCTGAGCTGGCTGGGGGTGGGGTCTGTGCCTGCCACTGAGGAGACTGGGCACAGCCAGCACCCAGGGCACTCTCACCGCAGGAACTAAACACACGCCCTCTCCAGCTCACCCTGCCAGCTCTTGCTTTTTCGCTTTTTTTTTTTTTTTTTGAGACAGGCTCTTGCTAGTAACCCAGGCTGGCCTTGAACTTGCAGTCCTCCTGCCTCAGCCTCCTGTGTTGCTGGGATTATGGATGTGTGCCACCACACCCTTCTCCCCTCCGTGCTTGCAGCATTTTGCTTTTAGCAACCAGTATCTTCTAAATCTGCCCGAGTCCCATCTGAAACTCCTGACCTGCTGCTGGACCATCTAATTCTATGTCTCCCAAACAAAAGTCGTCCTCTTGTTCCCCAAAAACTTCTGCAGCGCTGGCTCCCCTGGGCCTCAACTTCTCCTCTACCCATCAGAAGCACTGGCAAAAGTATCCCAAAGAGGGCTGGGAATTAAGCTCAGTGGTGCCGTCACCTGCCTCACAAAGGCGAGATCCTGAGTTCGATCCTCATTACCAAAAAAAAGAAATAGAGGGGTGGGCACTGAGGTCAGAGAGGAGCACAGATGGCCTTGAAACCACCTCTTTTCACCTGAATAAATGGGACTATTCTAAAGATTGAACCCAGGGCTTTCACACTGAGCTGTGTCTCTATCCCTTTTTTATCACCCAGGCTGAGCTGGAATTTAGATTCTCCTGCCTCAGCCTCCCAGAGTACTGGGATTATCAGCCTGCACCACCTTGCTCAACTCCTTTTGGTAAATTTTCAAGCCACAGTACGCTGAATCTGTAGATGTGGAACCCTGGATATGGAGGGCTGCGCACACGCCCCTGTGTGTGTGTGTGTGTGTGTGTGTGTAATTGTTAGACACAAGTGATGGGTATGTGTATTACAATATTCTTTTTTTTGTGTGTGGTACTGGGGATCAAACTCAGGACCCTGCGCTTGCGAGGCAGGTGGCAGAACCACTGAGCTAAATCCCCCGCCCTCCCTGTTCTTTTTTTAATTTTAAACATTGCTGGGCGTGGTGGTACATACCCATAATCCCAGCACTTGGGAGGCTGAGGGAGGATTGAGCGCTCCAGGCCAGCCTGGGCTATGGAGCAACACCTTGTCTCAAAAAGGAAACAAAAAACAAAAATACCCAAACCTTTCCCATTCACTGTGGTTCCTGTGAGGCCAGGCCCTGCCCAGGCCTGTGCCAGTTCTGCGCCTCCCACGCTGTTTCTCCGACCCTGCCCCTCGCCTTCCAGCTGCTCCCACAGGCCGCGTCTGCCCAGGAGGGAGGAATGAAGCCAGAGACCTGCCCGAGCCACAGGCGACCACGAGCCCTGACAAAGCCACCAAAGGGGACCCGGAACCTGACCCCTCTCCAACAAGGCTCAGCCAGTCTCGGCGCTCAGGGCCACTACACAGGCTGTTCCGCGCATGACCGCCAGAGGACGCCAGCTGCCGACCCTGAGCACCTAGCAGGAGGCTCCATCTCCCGGTCTAAGCAGAGTCCCATCCAGGGCCCCAGAAGTCCGCAACACAGGGGTTCCTGCGTCCCCTTTCTGTTGTCACACCCCGCCCTGGCTCCTGCATTGACTCAGCCCCAGCAGCACTGCTCTTTGGGCTGTCCCTCCCACATGCCTGGCAGGCACAGCTCACCCCAGGACCTTTACACCGGCCACTTTTCTACCTGAATCACTCTTCCCCGCACTTCCTTTCAGCCTTGACTCAAAGGTGCCCCTCAGAGAGCCTTCTTGAAACACTTCCCAATCTAAAAGACCACAAAAGCACTCCTTTAAGAAAACTCTGGCCTGAGGCAGGCATGGTGGCAAAACACCTGTCTTCCCAGCAGGCAGGATTACCATGAGTTAGAGGCCAGCCTGGGCTACACACCGAGACCTTGTCTTGAAATCAACAATGACAAATGAAAGTTCCCTGAGAAGGATGGGCTGTGTCCTTACACAAGTGGCTTTGGCTGGACAGCGTTTTGCACTGCCCACTTTCAACAAGGAACAGAGAACCCCAGGGAGAAGGAGCAAACAAGGAAGGGAAGACATAAGCCTCGAAGTGCAGTGGTCAGGCCAGGATCTGCTTCACCTTGGTCAGGGTGTAGGCGCCCAGCAGGTTTAGCTCCAGCAGCTGCCGGAAGTCCTGGGCGGAGGTGTCCTCCAGCCTCTGTGCCGGCGGATCTGAGGGGAGAGGACAGGACAGCCATGGGAAGAGGCGAGAGGCTCGAGCTGCTTCAGGGCTAAGGAAGAGGGAAAGGCTGAGGCAGAAGGACCTTTGTGAGTTTGAGGCTGGCCTAAATTAAAGAGTGAGAGCCTGCCTCAAAAACAAACAAACAAACAAACAAACAAACCAATAAATAAATGTGCTAATTGCCTCTGCATGGAAGAAGTCTAACCAATTCATCTATTTCTAGCTATAAATCTAAAAACCAAGAAAACAAGGATTTTGCCAGGTGTGGTGGCACACGCCTGTAATCCCAGCACTCGGGAGGCTGAGGCAGGAGGATCACTGGAGACCAGCCTGGGCTACATAGCGAGTTCCAGGTCAGTCTCAACTATATAGTGAGACCCTGTTTCAAAAAAACCAAAAAAAAAAAAAGAAAAAGAAAAAGAAAACAAGAATTTTTTTTTTTTTTTTGTATGGGGATCAAACTCAGGACCTTGCTCTTGCCAGGCAGGCGGTGGAACCACTGAGCTAAATCCCTAGTCCTAAAATCCCTTTTTAGACAGGACCTACTATGTAGTTCAGGCTGGCCTCGAATTCATGGCGATTCTCCTGCCTCAGCCTCCTTAGTGCTGAAACAGCCCTAATTAAAATGTTACTTCTGTGAGTTAACTCAGAGTTCAAAAAATGTGCCAGAAACATTTTAAAATCCAAGCCACCATGAAACTTGTAAAAAGTGAAACCAACAAGTAAAACAAAAATATAAATAAAGAAATGGGTATGAGCATTTTAACACAAGTAAAAACAAATGTTAGTTTGGAGTAACACTCAGTGCTCCTAGGGACAACTGGGTAGTTGCTCCAAAAACTGGGACCTAAACTTACTCTCCCTTGGGCCGAGGATATAGCTCAGTAGCACCATGCCTGCCTCCCAAGCACAACTTCCTGAGTTTGATTCCCAGTACCACAAATAAATAATAAACTTACTCTCCCTTGAGTAACGGCACTAGCCAGGCCGGATCCCAGAACTTGGGAGGCTGAGGCAGGAGGAGTTCGAGGCCAGCTTGGACTACATAGGGAGTTCAAAGCCAGCCTGGACTACACAGCCAGAAAAAAACAAAAATCCAATAAATATAAAACAAAAATAACGGGTCGGAGAGCTGAACAGGACCAAGGACAGAAGGTGGGGGTGACAGCAGGATGGCCCCTTCTTCCTCCAGGGCTCCCGACGGCCCAGGACGTGCTGTCCCAAACAGCCTCAGCGTCCCGTGCCTTCGTCACTCTTCCTGATGGCTTTTGTGCCACTGGCCACACTGTCACAAAGCCAGTCCTTGCCTTTCCCAGCAGGTAGGACTGGTGAAGTCAAGTGAGACAGCACTGTGACACCGCGGACAACTCCGTGTCCCAGGTAGGGAGTCACGGCCTCATCAGATGTGCACACAGCTGGGTGTAGACAGATGTGGTCATAAATCCTGCAGCAGCTCTTACTGCTACGCTCCATTTTCTTTATTCTGCAAGCTGGAAAATCAAGTTCCGAAGCCTTAAGAGACCTGCCCAGGCTGGCCCAGTAGCAGATACCAGAGTAGGGATGTGCGTCCGTGCGAGTGTGCGTGTGTGTGTGTATGCTTGTGTGCGTGTGTGCACGTGTGTGTGCGTGTGTGTGAGGCCGGGTCTCAGGCCAAGAATGAGCATTCACAGCTGCACTGTCCCATCCCAGAGGACAGAGTGGGCGCAGAGGGTTGGGGGCAGGGGGTCAGGGAGAGGGGAACGTGAGGTGCAGGAGGAAGCAGCAGAGGCCAGGGGGTGGCCTGATGGCTGGGGAGAGTGGTATGGGGCCGCGTGACTCACGGTAGCCAGCGTTGTTCACCACACAATCCAGGTGGCCAAATCGGCGGATGGTCTCAGCAATCAGGGTCTGAGGAGAGAGGGACGGTCCTGGGGGGGCGGCAGGGCCAGGCTCGCAGGGCCCGCAGGGCGCGGGACAGGGGCAAGAGCCAGGAGACTGGGGTGAGGCGAGGGTCACCACAGTCACCAGCTCAGCAGGAGAAGAGAGGCCGGAGCCCAGGGGCCCAAACAGATGAACAGGTGGGGCTAAGGTGAAGTGGTCACCCTAGAGACCAAGGAGCAGGGGCAGAGACCCAGGCAGGGGTCAGGGTCATGGGGAACAGGTAAGCAAAAGATGCCGATGAGAGCAAAGGAAGGAAAAGCTGGGCCAGGGATTTAGCTCAGTGGTTCTACTGCCTACTTTGCAAGCTCAAGGTCCCGAGTTCGATCCCGTGTACCAAAAAAAGGGGACGGGATGAGACAGACTTTGAGGGATGATGAAGGAGGCGCCTCCAGGACTAGCAGATAGGACAGCAGCAAGGGAGAGACCTGGGTGTGACAGCCAGCTAGTGGAGGCAGTGGTTGTTAGAAAAGGCGTAGGGGTGTAGGACAGAGACTTGCTCACCTGCAGATCCTCCTCTCGAGTCACGTCAGAGCGGATAAAGACCGTGCCGGGGAGCTGCTGCTCAAGGACTCGGGCGCTAGACTCTGCAGGGACAGAGCGCTGAGGCCGGAGGCAGGGTCTGAGTGGGTAGGCTCGGCCCGGACCCCAGATCTGAGCGGGGAGAGCCTAGGGTAAGATGAGGGACCCTCACTCACCGTCCTTGTCGCAGATGACCACGTGTGCTCCACTTTCAGCTGCAGGGAGAGAACAAGTTGTCCCCACCCAGACTTCAGTTGGACTTGTGTTGCCCTCTTGTGGCCACATGAAGTGGGGCCAAATTCGTCTTCCCCTGTGACCCCAAAGTCTCATGATTATCCTGGGGACAAAGGGCAGAGGCCTAACACACATTCCCGTTGCCTTCCCAGGTGCCTGCTGGTGCTCTGGAGGCCCCCTTTGTGGGTTCCCAAGTAAACCCCAAGCCTGGAGGTACGTGTTCCCCTAACCACCCCCTGGTAGTCCTGATAACAGGCTCAGAAACTGAGGAACTTGAGGCCAAAAGCTCTGGCTCTGGGCCATCAGCACTTACCCTGTCAGCATAGTAAATGGACTTTTCCAAAATAAGAGACTGCCATCTCTTCCTTCCCCTGTAACCACCCCTCCCACCTGCAAAATACCCAGCCTCAGACCCCTGCTCACCAAAGGCTCGCACGATTCCGGCTCCGATGCTGCGCCCACCCCCTGTCACAATCACCACCTTCCCTGCATAGCGAGTTTCCGATGCCATTCTCAGTCAGCCACTTCACTGTCCTCACCGGGGGACTCTTCCCACCTCCAGAGCTGGGGCCCCAAGATCAAAGCTTAACCAGGGGCCTAATCCTGGAAGCCCAGCCCTGGGGGCGTTTCCAGGAAGGCCAGAGACCAGGGTGATTGGCCCCTGCCTCCTCCCTCAGACTGGAAATCCAGGCCCGGCCTCCCCCCTCAGACGCTGAACCCAGGCCCAGCCTCCTCCCTCAGAACTGGGGTCCGGGCCCTGCCTCCTCCCAGACACCCCGGAGTCCGGGGCCCCAGCCTCTCTTCCCCAAGTTTAAGATTCCTGATTTCTGGTCCTCTCCTCCCATCTGAAGTAGGACTCAGAGTATCTAGTCCTTCCTTTGTCAGACCCAGTAATTTAGAGTATATGCTACCTCCTGCCCAGTGCCTTGTTCCTTACGCCCTCAGAACCCAGCTATCCACGATTCTATTTCCACTTCTTAGAAGCCCCAACCTTACAACCCCAAAATAGAGACAGAAAGAAAACTCGACTAAAAGTTCAAAGTTTTAATCCGAATTTAGACAGTGGGAAAACCAAACTGCCGGTACAAACCAGGTACCTCCTGGGCCACAGGTGCAGACCCCCCCCCAGCCCGGAGTGACCGCAGATAATCAGGCGGTACCTCCAGGCCACACCCCCACGCTCCAATTGGTCCCCTCGCAGGCGCAAACTAGAAACTGGACTGTAACAGAGTGACTCTCAGAGGCCACGCCCCCTCGCATTGGCCGGGGGCTGGAGGTGAGTTCCCGGCATCCCAGGTGGGCTCCCGGGGGGCAGGGCTTCCACCTCGCCCACCTCCGTGTGCAGAGAATCCAGTGGAACCACAATTCGTGACTGCGGGGGGTCTCGGAGGCGAGGTAAGCTGGGGCATGGGGTCCGACTGAGGCACACAAGGGAGAGGGTCTTCGCGACAATCCAAATTCCCACCTGGAGAGGCTGAGTAGGGAATGAGATCCGCAAACTTTAGGACCGCGACCCAGGAATCCAGCCCGCAGAACACTTCCCTAAGATCTGGGGATCCAGGCTCAGCCTCTCTTACCTCAGATCTGGGAGTCCACGCCCCAACTCGCCTCCCTCTTATCCAGAAATCCAGCCCCAAACACCCACTTCTCAGATCCAGTAGTCGGATCCACAATCCATTCCCACCCGAGTCTCAGCTGCCAGCCTTCTAGGCACCTTGGCCCTCTTGAGCCTGATCCTGCCTGAGACCCAGAACTTCCAATCACTGCACTGTCAACTCCACGCGTGTCCCAGCGGGCAGCAGACCCTTCCTCACCGGGCCCAGCGCGCAAAGCTTCCATCTCCCGCTATGCTAAAACCCAGGAGTGCGCCATCCCCGGTCCTTACCTGTCATCAATCTGTGCCACTGCGATGCCTCAGAGGCCAGGGCTTGGGACAAGCTGAGGACCCGCTCCCTGTGGCCTTCGGATGTGGGCAAGGAATGGCTAGCGTTCCTGGGACTAAAAAAGGTAGATTGGAAATAAAATGAGGAAAAAAGAAAAGGGTAGGCTGGGCATGGGGGGGTGTAGGTGGTTTAGTTCGCCGCCGCCCGCGGCCCTCTGGGAGTTGTAGTCCTGAGCACTTATTTCTGATGGGTTTAAACACAGACCCTGAGCATTATGGGATTTGTAGTCCACTTACACCTCAATATTACTGAAACCCGGAGGGAGGTACGGGGTGTAATACCGGCCAAAAGGAGATTAGGAAACTGCAGTTCTCACTGCGATGATGGGCTTCTTGGTTTAGTTTTTGATATCCCCCAGGAAATCAAGCGTCGATTAGAGTTTTGGAAACTGTAGTTCAGTATTCAGGAGGCCCTAATAACATTGCTCCAAGCCTCCCCATTTATGTTGCTTTCTTTTCATGCCCCTCCAGTTCCTCACCTGCTCCAGGACCCGGAGCTTCTGAGCCATTTTGCAGTTCGTAGGACAGCCTGGAAAGGAAGTAGCCCATTGGAGTCCTGACCTCGAAGCCTCACCTTCTCATTTTGAAGAAGGGGACTCAAGAGAGGACCTCACAAGTGCACCGATACACACCTATGACTTATCTATTTCCTTCCTCTAAGAGTTCAAGGTGAAGCCCTCTGAGATTCCAACAACATTCTGATTTTCAGTTCTGGGTGCTTTCTTTGTTATAATATGGAAGAAAATCAATTTCTCTAATTGCTCAAATAATTTTTTTTTCCTTTGACAGCACAGCAGCTGGGAAGAAAAACTAGGCTCTTATCTAGGTCTGTGATCCCTGCCCTGAAGGAAATCACCTCAGTTTTCTCCTCACGGCTCTGCCCACCCAGCACTAGGGGAGCCAGGAAGCTGAAAAGCACAAATTGGGGTGATCTGGAAACTCAGCTCAGGGCAAGGAGGTAGGGACTGTCTTCGTTTTCCAGAGGGGAACTGAGGCTCTAGAAGTAAAGACCCTCAACTGTCCCACGTCCACTCCCAGCCCTCCCGCCCTCACCCTTTGCTCTGCGTCAGGCTGGCGTCTGGCTGGGGACAGTGTCCTCCCCAGGGTGAGGAGCCGAGGGGAGGCGGGGCGCAGTAGAGGCCGTCCACTGTCCTGGTTCCTGCGCATGCGCTCTATCTGCTCCTGGGCGCTCATCCTGGGCCGCGCGGAGGAACCCTGGGGAGATCAGAAGTCGTGCAACACCCCAAAGAGCAGGGGCACCTCTTCATCTCCTCTTCCTGAACCCGCCCGCCTGCAGTCTGGCTCTTCCCGGTCAGTTCACCACAGTGATTCGGTTTTTGTGGTACCGGGGACTGAACCCAAGGGCCTTCGCACTGTGCCTCAGCCCTTTTTTATATTTGAGTCAGGATCTTGCTAAATTCCAGGCTGCCCTGGAACTTGCAATCTTTCTGCCTGCACCTCTGAGAGCCTGGGATTACAGGGAGCACTGCGGTGGAGCTCTTCCCTTGCAGGTGAGAAGCCCTGGATTTGGTCCTTATCATCACAAACATAAATACTTGATGAGTGGGTGAACACTGATAAAGAATGAATGAAGTACTCACTAAATCCAGGTACTATTTGCAACCCTCAGAGGTACCAGACTCGTTTAATCCCTTCTTGTTAGAGCTGGACTTTCAGATGCTCAATGGGTAACCAAAAAAGCTTGGTGTCTCTGCCCACATTTTGTTTTTGTTTCCTTTATCCAAATGTATCATTGGATCCGTTCTCAGCTCTGCATGTCCTAGGCAGGTTAATCAGTTATGGAATATGTGTCCAAAACTAGAGATGCAAGGTTTACTAAGTTTGCCTGGCCTATCTCATCGTCCTTTAAGACTGAGGACATGGCTAGGTGTGATGGCCCACATCTTGATCCCAGAACTTGGGAGACTGAAGCAGGAGGATTGCTGTGAATTTGAGGCCAGGCTGGGCTATACAGTGAGCTCAAGACCAGCCTGCACTACATAGCGAAACTCTGTCTCAAAAAACAAAACAAAACAAAAATCACTGAGAACATAGCCAGGGAGGTGGTCCACTACTGTAATCCTAGCACAGAGAGGCTGACACAGGAGAATTCAGGGTTCAAGGCCAGCCTGGGCTACCTAGAGAAACTCTGTCTCAAAATAAAACCACAACAACAGGCTGAGGTTACCAAGATAAATGTAACTACTTATTTTTTTTTCTTTTTTCTTTTCTTTTTTTTTTGGTACCAGGGGTCAAACTAAACTCAGGACCTTGGGCTTGTGAGGCAGCCAGCGGCAGATGGCCCTCTTTCTTTAATGCAGAGTCCCACTATGTAGTTCAGACTGGCCTCAAGTCACTATGTAGTCCAGGCTGGCCTCGAACTCAAGGCCTCAGCTTCCCAAGTGCTGGGCTTACAGGTGTGCATCACCTCGCCTGGCAAACAATGTCAGTTCTAAGCAATGATCACTGCTGTCAGCCCAATTCTACAGATGAGAAACTGGAGGCACAGAGGTTTAAAAACCAGCCCAAAGTCACAGTGCTTAGAAGTAGCCGAGACAGCTGGTGTGGTGGCGCACACCTATGATCCCAGCACCCTGAAGGCTGAGGCAGGAGGATGCTGAGAGTTCCAGGCCACCCTGTGCTACACAGAGAGTTTAAGGCCGGCCTGCACCACATAGTGAAACCCTGCCTCAAACACAAGGAAACAGAACAAGTAGCAGAGATAAAGATGATTTCCAGGGCTCTCACAGATAGCGCTCCCTGCTCTGGGTGTGGAGAACCCCCCCACTCCCAGCCCTGTCTCCAGGACCGGGCTCCGTGGTGGTTGGATCACAGGGCCAGGAGAGCAGTGGAAGGTCCCCGGTGGACAGCCTACCTTGGTCCCCAGTGGTGGGGAGGAGGGGTGGCAGCCCTCTGGGCTGGAAGCCCGGGAGACCCTGGGAGACGCCAGACCTGGAAGGACAGTGACTGGGTGGGCACAGGAGCTCCAGAACACAGCCCCACCGGGATGCTCACCTGAGCATGGGCTACCAAGGTCTCTGTCACCTCCAGGGGGCCGGCCCCAGTCAGTCTCAGGGGACCGCAGGGAGCTGAGTTCCAGGGACTCGGGCAGGCTCTGGAGGGGACAGGGGAGCGGACTGATGACAAGGGTCGTGTCGTTGTTACTTTTTAGCAACTGAGACAGTATGAGGAAGAGTATGACTGTAAACCTAATCCTCATTTATTTTTGTTTTATTTCTTTGTTTCTTTTTCTTGGTACGGGAGATCGAACTCATATTTTTTTGAAACAGGGACTCACTAGGCAGCCCAGGCTGGCTTCGAATTCATGGTGATCCTTCTACCTCAGCCTTCCGATTGCTGGGATTACCCGGCATGCACCACCATACCCAGCCTTGTGTGTGCGTGTGTGCGTGTGTGCGCGCGCGCGTGTGTGTGTGTGTGTGTGTGTGTGACACTAGGGATTGAACTTGGCATTGTGAAAGCCAAGCAATTCCTCTACCACTAACGCATAACTCAGCCCCTTGTAGGCGCACACCTGTAATCCCACAACTTGGGAAGCTGAGGCAAGAGGATACCTTGGAGTTCAAGGCCCGCCTGGGCTACATAGTGAATTCAAGGCCAGCCTGAACTACACAGGGAGACCCTGTCTCAAACTTAACAAAGAAACAACAACCATTAGCTGGCTGATCGGGGAGAAGAAAAAGCAGGGGAGTGTGTGGGGCTGGGGCAGGTGGGCCAGGCAGCCGGGGAAGGAGATGTGAGCCTCACCTCCCTCTCGGAGGACCCCTCGCCTTGGAGCACAGGGGAAGGGGAGTCAGCCTCAGTGTGGGAGGGCGGTTTCTGGGGGCCCCCCAGCCCCGCCAGCGTGTCCTCCACCATCCACAGCTGCTGCTGGGCCACCACTCTGTCCTGGGGAGGGAAAGCGTGGTTACTAAGTTGGGAAATGCGAGGGGGCTTCCGGCTCCTCCACCCACAAGGGTCCGAACTGGGGCACTGTTTATGGTGTCAGGACTTTTCCCTCCATGGGAACAGTGGAAGTGAGGAGACTTCTCTCCTGCTCCTCAGGGCCGCGCAGTCCCAAGAGGCTCCCTACGTAAATATCCAGGAGTCGGTTTCTGGCCCCCTTTCGAAGCCGTGGCCACCGGACATTCACTGTCTTAGTAACCATCAGAGGTGACATCCAGGTGTGCTGTTCCTCGGGACAGTGTCTTGGTGATTCCTGGCCTTCTCCACTTTCAGCGACAATTTAGGGTCCCCTTGTCACTCTCAGGAAACCCTTCCACATCTGTACCAGGATTGCAGGTCCCCATCCAGGCATCTTTACCTTGTCTTTCCTACTGATGCACACTTAAACCTCTCCGTCTCTAGATTTTAACGTCTGCTGATGATGTTTTGTGGTGTTCAGAGTAGATGTCTTACATCTTTCACCAGATGTATTCTAAAGTATTTTTGTTGTTATTGCTATTACAAACTATTGTTTGTCTTTGTTTTGTTTTTGCAGTGGTGGGGATATGCTAGGCAAGGAATCTACTACTAACCACACCCCCAGCCCTTTTTACTTTGTTTTTATTTTTTATTTCTTTTTTTTTTTCCAGCTATGTTTGTTTTTACTTATTTTTATTTTTAAGACATGGTGGTCTAAGTGGGCCAGGCTGGCCTTGAACTTGCAATCCTCCTGCCTCAGCCTCCAGAGCAGATGAGAAGTCAGTGTTGATATCTAAAGATGTATGATTTACAACTACCTGAGTTGGCTTCTAATGAAGAAATACATTGGAGACTGAGCAAAGGGTTTTATATTTTAGGTACCGTTTATAAAGTAAGGAAGAAACTTTTGTTTCTTTTTTCTTTTTCTTTCTAGAGGATATTTAACAGCAACCATCAAGAAAGCAGGTTGCCAGACAGCTTGGCCAGTGCGGGCAGGGCTTTCACACAGGAGAGATTTAGGACAGAGCGCAGAGCAGCTGCAGTCTTAACTACAATAAAGAGTTTAGAGGGGCGAAGATTTAGCTCAGTGGTACTGTCCCTGCCTTGCAAGGGTGTGGTGCTGCTCCAGTACCTCCCCGCACCAAAAGTGCACGATAAAGGACTAAGGGGCAAGGCTTGTGTTGGGTGGGCGGGGTTTGCCTCTATTGTGGGTTTACTGCTGAAGGGTTTGCCTTCAACCAGAGCGCATGCCTGTAATCGCAGCATTCGGGAGGCTGAGGCAGGAAGATCACTGTGAGTTCGAGACCAGCCTGGGCTACATAGTGAGTTCTAGGTCAATCTCAATTACATAGTGAGACCCTGTCTCAAAAAAACAAAACAAAAAACAAAAACAAATCTGAGGTTGGGCTTGGGCCCTGGGAAGGATGTACCTGGGGGGATCCGAGGTGCAGCAGGTATTCCAGGGTCTCTCGTAAGGTTCCCAGCTCCTGCTCCAGGCCTCTGTACGTGTCCCAAACTCGCTCTCGCTCCTCAGGTCACAGAATGGAGTAAACAGAATGGAGTGAGTTAGCAACCCACTCTCCAGAACTTTCCCTGTCTTCTCCCGGCCTGGGGGTGGAGAGGAGGCCTGGGGCCTCTGTGTTGGAACTAGGGGAACCCAGAGTCAATATTAAACCTGGGTTCCAGGGAGACTAGTGTGGACAAGTCAGTTTCCCTCAATCCCTGGATTGCTAACATGCATCTTTAGGGCAACAGCCCTGGGCAGCTCCACAGTGATAGGGCCAGGATAAAGGTGGTTAACTGGGCATGGTGGTACAAGCCTGTCATCCCAGCACTCAGGAGGCTGAGGCAGGAGGGTCACTGCCAGTTCAAGACCAGCCTGAATTGCTCAGCATGGTGAGACTGTGTCTAGTGTGGAGGGCTGGGGATTTAGCTCAGTGACACCATAAGTTTGATCCCTGCAACAAACAAACAACAGCAACAAAAAAGCCAGATAACAACAGCTAGCATGCTATGCTCACCTCTTGGTGAATTCTTGTGAGGCAGGTACTATCCTTGCCACTAATTTACAGATATTTTTCTTTTTTGGTACTGGGGATCGAACTTGGAAACTTGCACTTTCAAGGCAGGCAGTTTACAGATATTTAAACAGTAATTCACATAGTTTAGAAACCATCTCCATCATTTACAAATAATTCTTATTAGAGCTAACATTTAAATATTACCAAGTACCAGGTGTTTTACTATGTATTAAATAATCATTTACATATATTAATGGAACCCCCATGAGGACCCTATAAAGCAGGGTGTTTTATTTTCTAGAGTTTACAGAAAAGACAGCTAAGGGCCCAGGGCCCAGAGGGTTTAAATAAGTTTTTGAATTTGTTATTTTTGTTTGTTTCATTGGGTTGGGTTTGTTTTGTTTGAGACAGGGTCTCACTATGTATACCAGGCTGGGCTGGTACTTGCAGCAATCCTCCTGTCTCAGCCTCCTGTGTGCTGGGATTACAGGTATGTACCACCATTCCCAGCTGTTTTTGCTTTTCTTTTTTTCTTCTGTACTCAGGTTCTTTGAATTGAGCTCAAGCTCCAACCATTTATTATTTACTTACTTGAGAGAGACATGGTCTCCCTAAATTTCTAAGTTGTCCAGGTTGGTCTTGAACTGCAATACTCATGACTCAGCCTCCAAAAATTCTGGGATTGCAAGCTGGTGCCACAACACTCAGCTGAAATGACTTTTCTTTTCCTTTTTTTTTTTTTGAGACAGGGTCTCACCACATGCCTGGCTGCAATGACTTTTCTAAAGTAATCCAGCCAGTGTGGGGGGGGGTGTTCAAATGAAAGGGGAAGAAGGAAGGAGGGAGGAAAAAGGGACAAAAAAGTGAAAATAGAAGAAAAATGGAAACAAAGCTTTTGTTCATAGGGAGGGGAAGGGAGGAATGGAAAAAAAAACAGAATGTATCATGTACAGGTGCAAATTCCCTACGATGAGTGTTATACTCATAATACTCTTATATGCCTAAAATGACAATAAATATTTTGCTATTAAAAAAAAAGAAGAAAAACCACCACAGAAAGAAAAGAGTACGGCAGAAATGTAGCAGAGCACCTACCTGGCAAGAGTGAGGCCCTGAGTTCAATTCTTGATACAAAAAAAAAAAAAA